GCGCCCAAGAGGATGCAACGCTCCGAGTGGAGTGTGCACGTACTCCCGGGGGACACGGCTGACCTCGACTCGAATAAGCGAGTGAAATGGCATCCACAATCCAGTGGGATAATCTTTGTTTCGATACGGCACTTCCCTGCTGCCGACCGCCATAACAGACAAAGAGCTGCTCAGATGATCTAAAATTCTGAGTACGGTCCACATAAATGCGCAGAGCGCGAACTGGACAAAGTAAAGAAAGGGCTGGGTCTGCCTCCTCCGGGGGCAGCGCTTGCAGGTTCACTACCTGATCTCTAAAGGGGGTGGTAGGAACCTTGGGCACATAACCGGGGCGGGGTCTCAGGATAACGTGAGAGTAATCCGGCCCGAATTCCAGGCACGAGTCACTGACCGAAAATGCCTCCAGGTCCCCGACCCTCTTGATGGAGGCCAACGCAACCAGCAGAGCTGTCTTCAGGGACAGAAATCTTAGAGATACTGATTCGAGTGGCTCAAAGGGATCGGATCGCAGACTCGTGAGAACGAGGGCGAGATCCCAAGAGGGCATGAGAGGGGGGCGAGATGGATTAATTCGCCTAGCACCCCTAAGGAACTGGATGACCAGGTTATGCTTTCCCACGGTGCCGCCAGCTACCGCGCTATGATAAGCGGAGATGGCGGCCACGTAAACCTTGAGAGTGGAGGGCGACAGCCTGCTGTCCAACTTCTCTTGAAGGAAAGAGAGCACAACACTAATCTGGCAATTTCGGGGGTCTTCTCTGCGAGAGACGCACCATTCAGTGAATAGACTCCACTTCAGGGCGTAGGCGCGCCTCGTGGAGGGGGCTCTAGCCTGAGTGATGGTATTAACCACCGCAGTCGGTAGGTTACCTAAGTCTTCCTCGCGTCTAGGGACCACACGTGGAGGTTCCAAAGATCGGGGCGAGGGTGCCAGATGGTGCCCTGTCCCTGAGAGAGTAGGTCCTCTCTCAAAGGGATCCGCCAGGGGAGGGCCGTCGCGAGGAGTGAGAGCTCTGATATCCAGGTCCGGTTGGGCCAAAGGGGCGCAACTAGCAGAACCTGTTCCTCGTCCTCCCTGACCTTGCACAGAAACTGCGCGAGCAGGCTCACTGGGGGAAACGCATACTTGTGCATGCCCCGAGGCCAGCTGTGGGCCAGTGCATCCGTGCCGAGAGAGCCCTCGGTCAGGGAAAAAAACAACTGGCAGTGAGCGTTCTCGGGGGAAGCAAACAGATCGATCTGGGCCTCCCCGAATTGCGCCCATATCAGCTGAACAGACTCGGGGTGGAGTCTCCATTCTCCAGGGCGTAACAGCTGTCGTGAGAGCGCATCGGCTGCACGATTGAGCGTGCCTGGGACGTGAATGGCGCGCAGCGATTTCAGCCGCGGGTGACTCCAGAGGAGCAGACGGCGGGCGAGCTGAGACATGCGGCGAGAGCGCATACCCCCCATGCGGTTGATATACGCCGCCGCCGCCGTACTGTCCGTCCTGACCAGCACGTGTTGCCGCTCCAGCACCGGTAAAAAGCGGTGGAGAGCGAGGAACACTGCCAACAGCTCTAGGCGATTGATATGCCAATGCAGCTGGGCACCCTTCCAGAGGCCCGCAGCCGCATGCCCGCGACACACGGCCCCCCAACCCGTGTTGGAAGCGTCTGTTGAAACAACAACATGGCTTGACGCCTGTCCTAGAGGCACACCGGCCTGTAGGAACGAGGGGTCTTTCCAAGGGCTGAGGGCGCGGCGACACAGCGCAGTAACCGAGACCCGGTGTGTGCCCGCGTGCCATGCGCGTCTGGGGACCCGATCGTGAAGCCAGTGCTGAAGTGGTCTCATATGGAGCAACCCGAGCGGCATGACGGCGGCTGCGGATGCCATATGCCCCAGGAGCCTCTGAAAGAACTTCAGTGGGACCACTAGTTTGCTGTCGAGCTCCCTCAGACAGTTCAGCAACAGGCGAGCGCGTTCCTCGGAGAGGTGCGCTACCATGGTGATCGAGTCCAGCTCCATCCCGAGAAAAGAAATCCTCTGCACGGGGGCGAGTTTGCTCTTTTCTCGGTTGACCTGAAGCCCCAGTAGGCGGAGATGCCGAAGCACCTCGTCCCTGTGCATAATCAATTGCTCCCGCGAGTGGGCTAAAATCAGCCAGTCGTCGAGATAACTGAGTATGCGAATGCCCGCGAGCCGAAGAGGCGCTAGGGCACCCTCCGCGAGTTTGGTGAAGACCCGCGGAGACAGAGAGAGCCCGAAGGGGAGGACCTTGTACTGCCACGCTCGACCCTTGAACGCAAACCGCAGAAATTGGCGGTGGCGTGGAAGAATGGAGACATGGAAATACGCGTCCTTCAGGTCTATGGCTGCAAACCAATCCCGAGGACGAACGCATTGGAGAATGCGCCTCTGCGTGAGCATTCTGAACGGCAGCTTGTGCAGACAGCGGTTCAAAACGCGCAGATCTAGGATTGGCCGTGACCCACCGCTCACTCATGGGCTGTAAAACCCACTCTCCATCTCGGCTGGAGGAACCGGCTCGATTGCACCCTTCGCCAGGAGGGCAGCAATCTCCTCTCGCAAGACAGGGGCGGACAGGGGGTTGACCCTGGAGAAATACACGCCCGTAAACTTGGGGGGCCGTTTCGCGAACTGAATCGCGTAACCGAGTCTGATTGTGCGTATGAGCCACCGCGAGGGGCTGGCCCGCGCTAACCAGGCAGGCAGAGCCCTCGCTAATGGAGTCATCGCTACAATCGCTGACGTACCAGCGGTGGGGCAGCGCGGAGTGGGTGTGCTGATCCGGGAAGCACGAGGGTCCCGCGGAAGAGCTGGAGGAGAGCGATTCGCTCTGGCTCCGCACCCTGACTCCGGAGAGGGGGCTGGAGGGCTGAGGGAAGGGAGACCGTCCCCCCAGCGCTCGTGAGCCACTGGCGAAGCACGTAGAGTCTGCGAGCCGGAAGGCAGCGCGTCCCGGACTGGCAGAACTCGTGCAGTCACATCCGGGGAAGGGAAAAAGTGCTCTTTTACTGATGTTTTGGTGGCACTGAAAAGTACCGTTGTTATCGGGGCCCCGCCCTCCAGCGGGGAAAGAGCAAGTTTCCTCTTCTCCGGATGGCCTGTCTCAGGGACGCTTCGCGGTCCGTTTACCGGACTTAACGGCGCCCTGGGCAGGAGGGGCTGCCTGCTTTCGAGGTGAACGCCGCCCCCGCTTGGCCGGAGGCGCAGGCGGGGGCGGGGCAGCACTCGTTGGCGGGCGCCCTCGGCGAGGAACAGCGGAGGTGGATGGCTCGGCGGGCGGAGCGGGCTTACGGCCACGCCGATAGATGACATTGCCCATCGCATCCGACTGCTCTTTCACCGCCTTGAATTCCTGGGTGAATTCACCGACGGTGTCGCCGAACAGGCCAGCCTGGGATATGGGCGAGTCAAGAAAGCGAACTTTGTCAACGTCGCGCATATCGGCCAGGTTTAGCCAGAGGTGGCGTTCCTGAACCACAAGTGTGGACATCGTCCTCCCCAGCGCACACGCGGCGGACTTAGTAGTCCGAAGAGCATAGTCGGTCGCGGTGCGCAGCTCATGTAATAAGCTTGGGTTGGACCCGCCCTCGTGCAGCTCGGCCAGCGCCTGCGCTTGGTAGCGCTGGTAGGTGGCCCTCGCGTGCAAAGCAGAAGCAGCCTGGCCGGCAGCCTTATAAGCTCTGGCTCCGAGGGAGGCAGACAACCTACAGGCTTTGGACGGGAGGCGGGGCAAACCCCGCCACGTAGAGGCGCCGCGCGGACAAAGATTGACCGCGATAGCGCGCTCCACTGACGGGATCGCCTCATACCCCCTGGCAGCTCCGCCGTCAAGGGCGGTGAGGGCGGAGGCACTCGCAGCACGGGCAGAGAAAGGTGCCCTCCAGGACTGCGTGAGCCTACTGTGCACTTCCGGGAAGAAGGGGACGAGAGGCTTCGAAGGCTTCGCCTTCTGGTCCTCTACGTAGCACCCATCTAGTCGGTCCGGCCGCGGAGCTGGGGGATAAACCATCTCCAACCCCACGGCCGAAGCAGCCCGGGAAAGCACGGCTAACATGTCCGCTTCAGGATCCGATTTGACAGCGCTCACCTGCCCGGAGGGGGCGAGCGGGTCCGGATCTTCGTCAGACAGTGAAAGCCCACCCTCCGATGCCGCGGAGGACATCTGATCTCCGGTGTCAGCGAGTGTGAGAGCTATCATCTGGTTAGACGGATCACTCTCACCACCCGAAGCTTGGATGGAGCGCCGTGAGGAGCGAGAGGTCCGCGAGCCCGTGGGCGGCGGATTAGCTCCCGCTGAAACCCTCAGATCTGCCCGAGCGCCCGCTGCTTTTTTAGAACAGGAGGCAACTGGGGTGGCTCGCTCTCTTGCGAAAGTTAGCCGCGATCTTAGCTGTGCAACGGTCATGGCATCGCAATGACGACATGAACCGCCCGCGAGCACCGCATTAACATGCTGGACCCCCAAACATGCAATGCAGTGATCGTGTCCATCATCCGGAGACAGGAAACCCCCGCATCCAGAAACGCACAGTCGGAGCGCCATCCTGAAAAGGACGTGCTGCACGACTGTGTTGCTCTTTTAGGAAAGTTGCAACTATACGCACCGCTCTGGAGGACCGGACCCAAAGAACCGCAGGCAAGGGAGTAACCCAGCTCGACCGTCTGCCACCGCGAAGACCCACTCTGGACCGGGAGACACACTCGTTCGCTCTGAAGTGCTGATCAGCAAGAGGAACCCTCATCGACTCACTCAGAAAGGATCTGAAGCGAAAAGGATGGCGTCTGCTGGCTTCAGGTGTGCTTATATGCTGAGATAATTGCAGATGTCGCACACCTGCGCAAGCTTACGCTGCCAATTAATTTCATTCATTGGCCCGTTCAATACTCTCCAGATAAGCGGCTTCTGATCCGAATCCTCCCATTCATGGCACTGAAGTTCCCCAACCGAAGGGGAACCTTATTTCTGCCCCTCTGTCTTTTTCTGCCAGTGTTCAGCGGGCCACGGTTTTCACAGGAGCCAGCGGATCAGTCTGTGGTGATCGGCGAGAGGGTGGTTCTGTCCTGCGTCGTGTTTAACTACACCGGCATCGTACAATGGACCAAAGACGGCCTCGCTCTTGGAATCGGAGAGGATCTAAGGGGTGAGCACACAATTACACAAACCAAGGGCGTTGTGCTCTTTTTTTTAAAAAAGAAACAAGTGTCTGTATGGGCTGACTTAAGTGCTTTAGGTGAGAAGATGAGACCAAAGGGAAAAAGAACAAGACAAGGTAGTTTAGCGGTACAGTGAGCACAAAAAGGGACGTTTGGCTCAAGTGAATATATAAATAAAAAAATAATAAATCATTCATCATGTGATTACAGTGTGTTTTATTCTAATGGAATATTATGAGCAATGGCTGTAAAGCAGTGATTTTTGACTGTAGAACAAATGACTGACCACATTTGGACACTATTTGTCCATTCAGTCCATTTAGCTGAGATATCTGTAGTTTCTAATGTATATAAGCAACAAATATGCAACATACAGTCTGTCTTTTGAAATAAAGCAAGACACATATTTTTTTTTTATCCCCTTTGTTGTCCAGACATTGCCATTTTCTTTCTTTGTCCTCTGTCTTTCTCTCCTTCCCCCCCCCCCTTTTTTTTTTTTGGACATGTTGATCTTTTGTCCGCTCTCTAATCACAGACACATACACATATAGATGTGCAAACACGCGCACAGGTTAAACGTCTGCTCGCTGATTGGTTGAGCTAAAGGATGATGTAATCGTTGCCAATACTTTTGTCCTCCTGGTATCCAGATCGATGATGTCATAATGTGTGTGTGCAAGAGAGAGAGAGAGCGAGCGTGCAGTCTGAATGCCAATGTGTTATGGTGCTGCCCTCTGCTGACAAACACATGTCGTACAAGCCAACACAAAATCACTGATGGGCAAAACTGGCTGGATAAAAATATATGCTTGGGTTTTTTTTTAATTCAATGATTGATGGAGCTTTTGAAGAATATTTTATGGATATGTATATTTGTATCAGCTGTATGTGTAAGTAAAAATCATGTAATAATCGTTCTTTCAACTCAAGACAAAAGACAAATGAATTGAACTGTACATACTGTATAAGCTATGCCAGTTTTCATCCACATCCGAAATAATAATGCATGCAGTTAATTAATGATAGTTTATTGTGATAAAAAGTGCTGATGTGTGTGTATGTTTCAGCATGGCCACGGTACCGTGTTTTGCGTATAATGGATGTTGGGCAGTATAATCTGGAGATCACGTCGGCGGATCTGACCGATGACTCCCTGTACGAGTGTCAGGCCACTGAAGCCGCTCTGAGGTCCAGAAGAGCTAAACTCACCGTTCTGAGTGAGTAAACGTTCAATGTACTCAAAGTAGTCTATAATGTAGCATAGAATAATGTGATGTTGTTTAAAATACTTTACTTCTGGCATATAAATATAATCATCTGAAATGTGCTACAGGCCTGTAGCCAGCCTGGTGAAAGGGGTTTTTCTTTTTTCTCCAAAAGTGGAACCTTTTGCAGTTATAGGCCTCATTTAGGCTACTATTTAATTATAAGATTTAAATACTGTTTGTAAGTGACATTTAAAGCACTATTTTAGTTGAAATAGATTGTCAGAGGGCCATCATAACCAAAAAGTACATTTGAAAGTTCATGGATAACAACAATAGCCAAAATAGTGTTTTAAATTCATTCAATATCAGTCGCTTTTGGTGCTTCACACCTTTTAATAAGTCATTTTTTTGTTTCAAGATTAAGGTCCAAGATTTAGTATAAAAGTCACTTGTACAATGTTTTCTATATTTAAAAGCAATACAGTAGTGAAAGAGGACTTCATCTATGTCAGATTGTTTGTTTTCTTGCACAACTGGATGTTGAACTCATGAAAAATAATTCTGTGCATTGGCCAAAACCGATTAGCTGAAGTTACACCGATGCAACCCAACAGAGGGTTCCACTTGGACTTAAAACTTTTTTCGATGGGTCATTTGCACTATTATGATGAAATAGCCGTCAAAATATTTCTCATTCTCCACTTATTTCAAACCTGATTGCATTTTTATTCTGTTGAACACAAAGGACTGAATAATGATGGAAACTGGAAACCATTGAGTGCCATTGTATATTGTATATGTATATATATGTATATATATATATATATATATTATTTTATTTATTTTTTTTTTAAGTCAATGGTTACCGGTTTCCAAAATACTTCAAAATATCTTCTTTTGAAAAAACAAACTCATAAAGCTTTGGAACTACTTGAAGGAGAGTAAACGAGTAATTTATAATGCAGTTAACACCAAGCAAGTGAAAGATGTATACGACACAAACATTTCAATATGTGCCATTTGAGAGGCATGTGAGTATTTGTCTAGCATAGTCTTCTAAAATTGAGGTTAATAATTAATTAATTATATTAATAATTTCTGTTTATGGTGGCGCAGTGGGCAGTGCTGCCGTCTCACAGCAAAAAGGTTGCTGGTTCAAGGTTCAGCTAGCACAGTGCAAAGACATATGCTATAGGTGAATTGAATAAGCTAAATTGGCCATAGCGAATGCGAGAGTGTATGGGTGTTATGAGCTGTGTATGGGCTGGATAAGTTGGCGGTTCATTTCACTGTGGCAACCCCTGATTAATAAAGGGAATAAGCTAAAAAAAAATGAATGAATGAAAAAAAATTCAGTTTGCTATGTCCTTACATTTTTATGCATTTTTAGTTTTGATTGTTGAGTTATATGTATGCAATGTACAGTATGTACTGTTTAGTATGCAGAAACATTAGGATTCCAGCATAAGCTCAGCCACTTCTTTCTAAAGAATGCTTTCTGTTTGCTTTATTTAACATGTTTTGTAGGGACACTAATTGCAGAGATTCTGCACTGCTGCCTTGGAGCAATTTAACCATCTACATTATTTCTTTGTTTGTTTTTTTTTCTGTATGTGAAGCCTTTCTGGCACTATATACAAGGATGTACATTGCCATTATATGCTACATAGGTAATATGTAAAAATCAGATCACTTAATATATATAAGAAATAATTGAGAAATAAAGTTGTCTGCATGACTACTAATGAAACATTTAAGGTCATTATGTTTTTTAAATATGCAACAAGCCTCATTTGCAACCTAATTTGATCAAAAATGCAGTATAAGCAGTATCACTATGAAATATTTGTACAATTTTAAAATAACTATGTTTTTCTAGATAATATGTTTTTTTTTAAATAATAATGTATAAATATAAAAATGTATAAAAATAATAATGTATTCCTTCTATATCAAAGCTGAGTTTTTTTTTTTATTTTATTCATCATTACTACAGCGTTCATTGCTACGCAATCCTTCATAAATCAAATTTAAAAATTAAATTTATTGCATCCTTGGCTCCTTTAAACAAACTTCAAAAAGTAGTATAGAACTAAGCATTCAAAAGTATCCAAATATCTCATAGATTAGTATTTCTAAACATTATCTTGTGTAAAGTGTGTACCACATTTTTAGTGTGTTTTCTGTCTGTCTGTGTAGTTCCTCCTGATGGTCCCGTAATTGAGGGATCTCCAGAGATCCTGTTGACGGCAGGAACCTCATTTAACCTCACCTGTGTGTCTCGAGGAGCAAAGCCAATGTCAACAATTGAATGGTACAAAGATGGGATCATAGTGGAAGGAGCTCATACCAGCACTGTGAGTGACGACACAAGGGGATGTGACAAAGCAAACAAATATACAGTTGAAGTCAAAATTTGTAATCCTCCTATAAAATATTTTTTCGGTGCCACTTTTTATTAAGTGTCCTTAACTACTATGTACTTGCATCAAAAAATAAATACAATGTACTTACTGTGTTCATAATGTATTTGAGAACACTTGTGGTGCTCTTGAGTTGGGATAGGAGTTGGGTTATGGACAGGTTTGGTGGTATGGGTAGGTTTAAGGGTGGGTTAAGGTGTAGGGAATGGTCAGCAGTGTATTTACAAATGTAAGTACAGAAGTTAGTTACAGATGTAATTACATACAGGTATTTAATCATACATAAGTACACAATAAATACATGTATTTACACAATAAGTACATTGTAACAAACTATTAATTCCTGTGTAAGTACATATTAGTTAAGGCCACTTAATATAAAGTGGGACCATTTTTTCTTTTTTAAATATTTCCCAAATGATGTTTAACAGAGCAGGGAATTTTTTACAGTATTTTCAATAAAAATCTTTCTTCTAGAGAAAGTCTTATTTGTTTTATTTCAGCCAGTATAAAAGCGTTTTTAAATTTTCGTACAACCATTTTAAGGTCAATAATATTAGCTTACTTAAGCAATAACCTAGTTAAGCACCTAAAGTAAAATGCACTTTAAGCTGTATAGAAGTGTCTTGAAAAATATCCAGTAGAATATTATTTACTGTCATCAAGACAAATATAAATTAGATCAGTTATTAGAAATCAGTTATTAAAACTATTATGTTTTGAAATTTGTTGAAAAAAATATTTCCATTGAACTGATAATTGGCTAATAATTCTGATTTCAACTGTACACACTAGCACTATTAATGTCTATATATACTGTATATATACTTAACTTCCCAAATTCCTACATATAAATCCACCAGGAGGTGTTATCGGACAGGAAAAGGGTGACCACAAAAAGTTTTTTGGAGATCCAGCCAATGGACACAGACACTGGACGTAACTTCACTTGCGTGGCCTCAAACCTGGCTGCTCCACTGGGGAAGAGATCAACTGTCACCCTCAACATCCACCGTAAGTGTGTGCAGTTTAATAGTCGACTTTAGATATTATTCTAACTATAAGTAACTTTGTCGAGTTAGACTTATGATTAGGGTTAAGTATATTAAGTCCTAGACAAAATGATCTGTTGGTGGGGCAATGCATCAAAATAATGTTTAAGCAGGAATTAGACATATTGTTTACTGATCAGGGTTTCCACAGGTCATGAAATTTCTGCAATATCGTGGAATTTTAAAAGTTCTATGTATGTACTTTGCATTTATCAAAATGTACTATATTTTTAATCATAATGTTTCATATGTTTTGCATATTATTATGGTTAGAGTATTTTACTGTTCTTTTATTCCTTTCCCACTTGCCATCCGGCAATCAAATACAATCATCAGACTGTTCAAATATTTTTTTTGTGGGGTTTTTTTGTCTTAATTAGTCCCTCATGGATTTTGTGGGAAATTTTTCAGATTATTGCAGCCTAAAATTAAAGTTTTTGCCGTGACTTCGTCAAAATTAGCATGGAATCAAAATCTGAATGTCTATTGCAATAATATCATGATGCATCTAAAACAGGCCTGAGGAGATCTGTGTATATGACAACTGGAAGTATCCCCCACAAGAAAAGCAGTTTTTATATACAAATATATTGTCATGTAAAATACTGTAAAGCAATGAACAGTGTCCTGACTGGCCAAAAACTGCAGAAAAACTGTGGCAATTAAAGGAATTGTAAGCTCTTCTAAATTTGAAGAACCACTTGCTTGATTTAACATTAAACTTTAAAAAAAATATATATATATTTTTTTTTTCTGTTCATTGGACAGTATGTCATGGAAATTTAGCTTTTTAGTCAGTGAAAGTTTGGGAGAAGTCAGAAAATTTGACATTTGGCTTAGAGTGGAACCCCTGATCAATACTCTAAAGACCTCTTGTTATCATTGAGATGTAGCTAAGAAGTTACTTACAGCTAGTATAATGTCTAAATTAAAATAAAGAGTTACCATTTGTACTGTTTTACATATACAGTTGAAGTCAAAATTATTTGCCCCCCTTTGAATTGTTTTCTCTTTTTTAAATATTTCCCAAATTATGTTAAACAGAGCAAACAAATTTTTACAGTGTGTCTGCTAATATTTTTTTCTCCGGAGACTCTTATTTGTTTTATTTTTAATAAAATAAAAGCATTTTTTAATTTTTTAAAAAACATTTTAAGGTCAAAATCATTAGCCCCTTCAGGCATCTTTTTTTTTTTGTCTACAGAACAAACCATCGTTATACAATGACTTGCCTAATTACCCTAACCTGCGTAGTTAACGTAATTAACCTAGTTAAGCCTTTAAATGTCACTTTAAGCTGTATAGAAGAGTCTTGAAAATGTTATAGTAAAATAATATTTACTGTCATCATGGCAAAGATAAAATAAATCAGTTATTAAAAATGAGCTATTAAAACTATTGTTTAGAAATGTTGAAAAAATCTGCAGAAATTAGGGAAAAAACTAAACAGGGGGTCTAATAATTCACGGGGGGTTAATAATTCTGACTTTAACTGTACTTTGCTGTGCTAGAATATGGTTTGCACAAAAGTACCCTGTTGACACCTCACTTTCTTTCCAGATCCTCCTACGGTGATTTTGTCCATAGAGCCTCGCTCAGTTCTTGAAGGAGAGCGAGTTAAGTTCACCTGCCAGGCAACTGCCAACCCTCCTATAATGGGCTACAGGTTAGTGTTTACCGAGGGTATACAGTAGTGATGCAATGGAATCCTGAATTTAACTATCGTGAAAATATAAGAAAAATGCTGTACTAGAACATGGTTAAGGTACTTATAGTATCTGCCAAAAAGGTTTTGGACAAATAAATGCAGAGAAAATCTAACTCTATGCACATTTTTTTTAACTACACTTATACAGGATATGCTTAGAAAATCTACATCAATACATTTAAATCAAGCATAAATTAGTATGCCATTGAAATAAGTAGGCCACCACTGTTCATACTGTGCATGTACTACTCTATTATTCTTTTTAAAATGTTTATTAATTTAAATTAATTAACTTTTTAATTCATGTTTTCACTTTGTTTGTTTTTAACAACATTTTTTATTTCAATGTAAGAATATTTTATTTCAGTAACAAAAAGTTTTTCTCTTTAGTTTTAGTTAACTGTAATGACCCTGGTATGTTGTAGGTGGGCTAAAGGTGGCGTGATTCTAGACGGAGCAAGAGAAAGTGTGTTTGAGACGACAGCAGATCACTCATTCTTCACCGAGCCTGTGTCCTGCCTGGTGTTTAATGCAGTGGGCAGCACTAACGTCAGTATATTAGTGGACGTTCACTGTGAGTATCTCTGTCCATCCATCTGATGATCTACCACACTTGACTAGTGAAGGTTTTATGTTATAGTGGTGCTTGCCGATGCTAAGTAGTGTAACTAGTGTGCATTATGTTTTCATTACCGCATTTCCTTATTGTTTTCAGTACCAAATGTAAGCAAAATTTATAAGTTAACGATTTTTTAATGTGCTTTGGTTTGATTTATGTTTAAAAAACATCAAATCCACAACTACAAATTAGGAGATTTATTCTGCCATTATGCATCATTTCTAGGGTTATTATAATTATCTTTATTTTTATTTATATATTGTTTTAAGTTTTGTAGACACGCTAGAAAATCTTGGAAGTTTTTGTTTGTAGATTCTTTCTTACACACATTTAAATTTAAAAAAAAGTGACGCTTGTGTACTTCTGTGTCTCCATCTCTCTTAGTTGGCCCAATTTTGGTGGTGGAGCCAAGGCCTGTAACAGTGGACGTTGACTCAGATGTCACACTTAACTGTAAATGGTCAGGAAATCCTCCGCTTACCCTCACTTGGACCAAAAAAGGCTCCAGTATGGTTAGTGAACCCGAGAACCCGAGAACACGAGTTAGTGAACTCCCTACTTGACCTATCTGTACCCTAAGCTCACTCACTATCCTTCGGCTTAGTCCCTAATTTATCAGGGGTCGCCACAGTGAAACAAACCATCAGTTACTCTGGCATGTTTTATGCAGCGGATGCCCTTTCAGCTGCAACCCAGTACTGGGAAACATCCATACACTCTCACATTCACACACACTCATACACTACAGCCAATTTAGTTTATTCAGTTCACCTATACTGCATGTCTTTGGATTGTGGGGAAAACCAAAGTAGCCGGAGGAAATCCATGTGAACAAGAGGAGAACATGCAAACTTTACACAGAAATGCCTCCTGTTCCAACCAAGCCTCAAATCAGTGACCTTTTTGATGTGAGGCAACAGTGCTAAACACTGAGCCACCAGTACCCTAATCTATTAAAATAAAACAGCACTTATATACACACAAAACTAAACGCATTGGTGACTGATTTTAATGCTGTCTGTCTGTCTGTCTGACTGTTTGTTTTTTAGGTCCTCAGTAACAGTAATCAGCTGTTCCTGAAGTCTGTGAGTCAAGCAGATGCAGGACAGTACGTGTGTAAAGCCATCGTCCCCAGAATTGGTGTTGGGGAGACTGAGGTCACACTCACTGTCAATGGTCAGTAACACACACACATACTAATTGTGCTCAGTTTTGTCATTTTTCAGCTATCATTGGCTATATTTGTAGTTATTTTGAGAGGACAATAAATTTACACTGCTATAAACACTTTACACTGACTACTATTCATTGTGTCAAAGAGTCATTTCTGCAGTGTTGTCCTATGAAAAGTTATAAATAAATATTTGCAGAAATGGGAGGGGTGTACTCACTTTTGTGACATACTGTTTATATATATTCACGTCGCCATTGGCTTGCATGGTTCAGGACCTGTGGAGCTGTGCATCGATGGATTTGCTCCTCAGTGTTTTGACTCTCAGCAGTGAATATTTAACCACTCTGAACTGAACTAAACTGAACTTCAACACTGAAGACTGGACTGACACTGTTTCAATTTACTATAATTTTCTATATGAAGCTGCTTTACCACAATCTACATTGTAAAAGCGCTTCAGAAATCAAGATGAATTGAATTGAATAATAATTTCTCTCCGTTAAACAGAAATTGGGGAAAAAATAAACAGGGGGCTAATAATTCAGGGGGGCTAATAATTTTGACTTCAACTATATATGTGAATATCCGATTCGGCTACTTTTCCACAGTTGTATGATCATCTACTGAAGGTCTGATGGTCTTTTGTGGTGGTCTAGATTTAATACAACAGTTTTTTTTTTTTTTCCAAGAACATGTCATGTCATGTCATGTCATGCTGGCACTAGTCTACTAAAACATGAAAAGCATAATATGACTCTGCTGTGATTTGATTGGCTGTCCAGGTCCTCCAATCATCTCGAGTGAGCCGATCCAGTATGCCGTGAGAGGAGAGAAAGGGGAAATCAAGTGCTACATAGCCAGCACTCCACCGCCAGACAAAATCGTGAGTTCAGATCATACTCAGTTCTGCACAGAAACGATCATGTTTTTTGTTTTTATTATTACAAGATACTCATGAAGCTAATGTTATCTAATGTCTCTAATGCTACAATACATGATGAATTATTTGAGCAAATCCAGTGTTATGGGTATAACATTTGCAATAAAATTTTAACACAAAAATTCACATAGAAAGTATATGCTATCATTATATTGAATCAGCTGTTTATATTTTCTAAAACAACTTACCACAGAGTTATGGGATCGAAAAAAATATCAATCTGTAAACATTTTTTAGATTTAAAATGAGCAAATGCATTTTGGATGTGACAAAAAAAGTTAGCGAGTTTCACTATTTTGGTGAAAAGAAAATCTAACAAGGGTTACACAATTTTATGATTATTGGTGTGAGATTTATTTTTAATTAAAACTCTATTGTGGCTGTAAAATAAATATTTATAATAAAAAGAAGATGCATTTAAATGTATGTGTACATATTATAATATTAATATATTATTATTATTATTATTATTATTATATATTTTTATTCCATATAACAACACTAAATTGCAAAAACTAACATTTGTGATTGATTTTGTTTTTGCCTTCAAATGTTAAACCACATTTCTTTCTTTATTTGAAAACCAAACGGAAACCTCCCCAATGCTTCTCTTGAAAACACATTTATAAAGCATTACAAACTTATTACAAACTTGGAAAGATGTTTGATGCAAGATCAATTTCATGAGCTGATTATGTATAAAGATCACAGGGCTTAGATTCACTCTGAAACATGCTTAAAGGGCACCTATGATGCAAATCAACTTTTGTAAGCTGTTTGGACAGAACTGTGTGTAGGTATAGTGTGTCCACTGTCATATTGGAGTGACATAAAGACAATAAGTCTAATTCTAATATTTACTTAATATTTCTTTTAATATAAAGCTTAATATTTACTGACATTAAAATAGCATCTAAATCCCAGTGATTTTGAGGCCCACTGCAACATGACGTAGGAGTGCGGTTTTCCCAGCCCTCTGAATTGATTACCAGGTGCCAGGTTACCAGTATAATAACATGTGTACACATGTCTACACAACATTGTTTTGCAAATAAACTGGGATTAAAATATTTGTTACAGCTCTCTGTCATTTTGATAAGTTTTATAAGTTTAACACTTTTTTTTTTTTAAAACAGAGCATGTTTATAATAAAGAGAGTTTGATTTTAATTTTCAACCGCTATAATCACCACAGCAGCATGGTGTCAGTAAACGCTAATAGGTGTGTGTACTGCAAATGGCATTTGCATGGGACTCATCATTTCAGAAAGGCTTGAATAAACTCCACCACAAATAGGTGAAATAAACCTACTTGGTATTTTTGACTAATGAGCTGTATTTCATCTTCATACGGGTCTGTCACTGTGCTTTTTATCTGAGATACGCATGATGAGATGCAGACACGCACGTGGGAACGGTGGGTGTGGAGAAGCAGCTCATTTGGATTTAAAGCCACATGCTACAAAAACAGCTTCAATGTATTCAGACACCAAAATGGGCCAATTCTGGAGGCTGTAATATTATCTGACGGGTATTTTGAGTTGAAACTTTACAGACACATTATGAAGACATCAAAGGCTTATCATACATCTTTTAAAAGGGGTAAAATAGGTGCTCTTTAAATTCTATTGCATATTTTTAAACACAAACCTAATTTTTGTGATACTATAAATGTGTTAAACCATATCATTCTTAGCCACTTTTATAAATTAATAGACAATGTTATAACATTGCATTTAACAGCAGACTCTAAATTTCATGCATCTCTCAGATAATGTCTAAATGTGTGTAAAATTAGTTATTAAATAATTTATAAGTAAACAATTTACTGTTTTATAAACCTTAAACTTTCTTCTTTTAAGATAAAACTAATTCTTGCTTTTTCAATGGTTAGAGATTTTGTTTATGCATTACTTTTGTTATTTCAATGCTTTTTTCTTGGCACTAATCCCACAGATATGACACAAAAGTATATACAGACTGGGGAATGTGTTCTCTTAATGCGTCTCTTACTGTACTTGTTTTATTCGTCCTTCTTGTATCATCTTTACATTACACTTGATTGAATACTGAGAGAGCGAGAGAGAGAGCAATGGCAAAGGAAGCGTGAAAAAATAGAGGTCAAGAAGATATGAAATGAGACATGAAAGATGAGGTGGGCTGACGGGAAGGGGGAGAGAAAGAGTGACGGCACAGAACAAACTCCTGTACCTTTCAGTGTCGATTATCAGCAGCAGACGACGCGACATGACAGACAAATGAGTGAGCTTTTAACAATCTCAGCACTTTACTCAACGCTCTGCCTCTTTTCCTCTCTCTCTTTCTGTCTCTCGTTCTTTCTTTCCACCTGTCCTCTAGTCACCCTCCTCCCCCTTTCATTCTCTTTCATCCACTTTTATAGTCGCTCTTTTCTTTCGGTTTCAGCATGCTTCACTGGCTGAATACAAACTGCTTCCCTAAATGAGTAAAATATAAGTTATTGAAAAGCATATGCAAGGCGGAACTGATATTAAACAATACAGTAAAACGTATGAGGTTTTAATATGTTTAACAATATAAATATTTAAAGTGAAATGCAGTATTTAAAGAATTTAAAAGTCTAATGTATTTGTGTTAAATATATATACAGTTGAAGTCAGAATTATTAGCCCCTCTTTGATATTTGTTTTCTTTTTTTAAATATTTCTCAAATGATGTTTAACAGAGCAAGGAAATGTTCACAGTATGTCTGATATTATTTTTTCTTCTGGAGAAAGTCTTATTTGTTTTATTTCGGCTAGAAAAAAAAACAGTGTTTAATCTTTTTAAAAAACATTTTAAGGTCAAAATTATTAGTCCCTTTAAGCTATTTTTTTTTCGATTGTCTACAGAACAAACCATCATTATACAATAACTCATTACCCTAACCTGCCTAGTTAACCTAAATTACCTAGTTAAGCTTTTAAATGTCACTTTAAGCTGTAAAGATGTGTCTTGAAAAATATCTAGTAAAATATTATTTATTGTCATCATGGCAAAGATAAAATAAATCAGTTATTAGAAATGAGTTATTAAAACTATTATGTTTAGAAATGAGTTGAAAAAAAATCTTCTCTCCGTTAAGCAGAAATTAGTGAAAAAAATAAACAGGGGGGCTAATAATTCTGGCTTCAACTGCATATCAAATAGTATGAACAAGTAAAATGATTACTTTTACCTTAAATTTTTTACAAAAAGTTATGTAAAGATACTGAAAATAGAGGAAACAAATTGTAGAATTTGAAAAATAAAATGATAGTATAGTATAGTATACAAAAAATAACGTATAATTACTTTAAAAGGACAGTAGTCCAAATTTGTGATATTAAATCAGTTAAGAAAAATCGTTATAATTAACACACTACCTAACAAAACTGTTGTCGCCTAACAAAAAAAACTCGACTTACAGTTGATCATTTGGTATCAGAAGTGGCTTATATGATAGGCAGAGGCCTCTAGATTATGCTTATTTTACGAAAATTAAATATGACCATGCCTTGATTTTTAATTATTTAATTAGGACAGCAAGGTCTGACCTTGCTTAGACAAAAGTCTTGTCATTTAACAGAAATAACGTACAGTAAAGAATATAAAGTCATGGTGCAGTGGAAAAAGAAGGAATATTGTGTATGACTCCCATGATCTTGGAGACCTCCATCCATACATCTCTGCAAAGATTCAAATAACTCATTAATAAATTAATCTGGCATGGCAAAGAAAGCGTTCTTGCAGGACTCCCAGACTTCATCAAGACTCTGGATTCATCTTTAATGTCTCCTCCTTCTCACCCTAGACTTGCCCAATAATGTTCATCTCTGGTAACTGGGCTGGCCAATCCTTGAGCACTTTGACACTGAATGTAACCTTAAACCGTGATTTTTCCTTTACCAAACTTGACTGATTTCCATGAGAATCTTTGGTCCCAATAGGTCTTCTGCAGTATTTGTGATGATTGGAATGCAGTTTAACACATGATTCATCAGAAAAATCTACCTTCTACCACTTATTCTAATGATCAACTAGAAGTCAAGTTGTTATTTGTGGCTCTTTCTACCCGGATCGACAACAAGACTTTTGTCGACTAGTATAAATGAAGTCAAATTTGAAATTAATATTAAATTAAAAAAGGTTTACAAAATGTTACTATGTAATAATAACAAATGCATAACATTTCAATTATATTATAATTTAAAATAACAATAAAAGATATCAAAGAGCAAACAATAATTATTTATAGAATAGAGAACACTCCACTAACTGGAATAAAACAACAAACAAAATGAAATAAATTACAGGGATAATATTAAAGCAAGGTATTGAAGAGAATAAAGATTCAACGAAAGCTTCATGAACAGAGGCTCCTCCTGAAGTCCTCCAGAACTCTCTGTCTGTCTGTCTCTCTCTCTCTCTGGATAATGAGACATGGCACAACAGTACTGGCCTTAATGTGAAGATGCTGCTTATGAGAGAATGAATAATGGAATGCATGAGCAAAGAAGGTGGAGGAGAGGAAAGGAGAGGCGGCCGAAAGCTTTTGTTCCTCATCCTCTCTGTGTTCAGCTGGAGAGGGACATTAGCGCTGTGAATATTTGATGAAGCGCTGTTCATTTTGTATGAACTATCTGCTCTCCCACAGTTCACAGCAAATCCATGTACCGCCTGTAAACCCCTGCCTGTTTGTGTGTATGTGTTTTCTGTATTCTTCAAAAATGTATGACGTGTTTACTAATGTGAATATTAGGGATGTAAAAGATTAATCAACGATGGCATTTTCAGCTGTGCAGGGCGCTGTGGTGGACAGGTTGACCTTTTCACATTCTACGTTTTTTTCTTCCTGTGCATGGTTTGGGAAGAACATAACACATTTACAGTATCAATGGATGCTCTCATACTGTACAACAGTAGACCAGAGTACACATCTGAGGTGGAGCAATTTACATGTACATGTATTAGACGTCATATTTAATCATTATTAAATGCTACAATCCTACTAGTCTTTTATTAAAGTAAAAACAAACTTAAAGTAAGGATGCTTATTTTTTGAGTGTTTTTTTGCACATCCTGTGGTGTAGGATTCGTAAAAATATCGATATGTCAATTTAACGCGATATAACAAGTGTCCTGACGTTTTATTCTACCCATCAGATTATGCTACCAATACTGTATTTTAATGGTTCTGAAGTTGGGGTTAGGGTTAGGGCTTGGGTAGGTTATAGGGCGATATTACAGCTTCATATTAAACTACTCCACATTAAAATTTACAGTGGTTGCAAAATCTAATGGGTAGCATATTGCGTCTTCAAAATGTGCTACCTACTTTTTGAATAGGATGAAGGACAATCTGACAAGGTAGGAAAAATTGACAGAACACCGACTGTAATGCATTATCGCTATACTTGCATCAAGTATCAATATTTATTTATTTTTTTTATATTTATTTTTAGTATTTTGCTTTATTTGATAGGACAATAGAATGACAGGAAGTGAAGTGGGAGAGAGAAGGATCAGGAATGATCCACGTGCCAGGATTCAAATTCGGGACACCTAGAGTGCTGTTGACACATCCACGTGACTGGGCTATCACGCCAACTAAGTATTGATATTTATTTAAATGTACAAAAGATCTAAAATAAGTCTTGCATTGCAGCCATTTATCGCTTTGACTGCAGTATGCGCAAGGCTAAATAAGTGTCTTAAGTTTACAGAAGGCGGTAATCCATGGTGTTTTGCTTTTTGTATGTGTTGATTTGAGAAATGCACTTACTGATTTGCAAATTTCAATTCTGATCTGAAAAATGTACCAAAGTGACAGAGAAAAACTGTAAGAGTGAGCAAATAATTATTCATTCATTCATTTTCTTGTCGGCTTAGTCCCTTTATTAATCCGGAGTCGCCACAGCGGAATGAACCGCCAACTTATGCAGCAAGTTTTTACGCAGCAGATGCCCTTACAGCCGCAACCCATCTCTAGGAAACATCCACACACACTCATTCACACACTCATACACTACAGACAATTTAGCCTACCCATTTCACCTGCACCGCATGTCTTTGGACTGTGGGGGAAACCGGAGCACCCGGAGGAAACCCACGCGAAGGCAGGGAGAACATGCAAACTCCACACAGAAACGCCAACTGAGCCGAGGTTTGAACCAGCAACCCAGCGACCTTCTTGCTGTGAGGCAACAGCACTCCCTACTGCGCTACTGCCTCGCCCAGCAAATAATTACAAAATGTTTATTTTTTGGTGAACTATCCCTTTAATTTATGTAAATTGACATCCTTAGTGAAAATATGTGTGTGTTTGTGAATGCAGGTTTGGGCCTGGAAGGAGAACGTGTGGGAGAAGGAGCGAGGGACACTGCTGGAGAGATACACGGTTGAGCAGAGCAGACCTGCAACACAAGGGGGTGCCGTTCTATCCACACTCACCATCAACAATGTAATGGAGGCTGACTTCCAGTCCACGTACAACTGCACGGCATGGAACGCTTTTGGACCAGGAACCATGATCATTACCCTGGAAGAGACAGGTCAGAAAAATACCCTGCTGTAGCTCTGGATCTGTCTGTCGGATGAAGTGTTTGTGGGTATAATACTCTCTCTCTTTCTCTTTCTCTATTTCTTTCTCAGATATAGCATCCGAAGGTATAATATCTGTCTGTCTCTCTATCTCACAGATATAATGTCCGTAGGTGTCTTTCTCTCAGATATATAACACCTGTAGATATAGTACCGTCTGTCTCTCACTCTCTGTCTTAGAAATATTATCTGCAGGCCGAAAATGAACATTTTGCTCCAGCCTCAGTGATTAAGAATCAGACAAAAATATTTTAGTTAAGTAAAAACATATTATTATTATTTTTTTTTTTAAAAAGCTGAAAAAATTGGGCAAACAAAAGTATTTTAATTTATTATTATTATTATTATTATTATAATTCTCATAATTTTAAGTAAATAATAATAATAATAAAGACTCACTATGCTACTATCGGATAGCAAAATTTGCAATCTTATTCATGTTAATTTCAATAATACTAATGATAATAATAAAAGTGAGAGCCTCATAGCAACAGGTCAGAGACGGCTTATATTTTCTCTGGTTTTGTTGATTTGTTGATTTAGTACATGAGTAAACATTAATTTATGGTTGCTTTATGTGCTTTCCAACAATAAACTAAAGAGGCTTTTATTTTTGTGAAAGCCAGCAGAGTAACTTTTATATTGAAATGCTTCTTTGTCCACAACAGACTTATAAACCGTTCTAATAAAAAACTTGTGAAAATTCTCTGTGGCTTGATAGTCGCACATTACCATATTTCATTTTTAGGCATTGACTTATTCAAATAATGACATTTAAATGATAAATGTTCTTGTTAGAATCTGATAAGAAACTGTGTTTTATAATATTTGAATGTTCATTTTGGGCCCTGCGTTTAGCTTTAGATGACTTTCTCCTGGATATTGTGTCTTTTGGTTTCTTTCTGTCAGATACATAACATGTTATAAACATGTGACTAATACAGTAGGCCACAGGTGTCAAACTCCTGGAGGGTCGCAGCTCTGCACAGTTTAGTTCCAAGCCTAATTAAACACAGCTTATCAAACTAATTGAGTCCTTTAGGCTTGTTTGAACCTACAGGTAATTGTGTTGAAGCAGGGTAAGAACTAAACTGTGCAGGCCAGCGGCCCTCCAGGAACTGAGTTTGACACCCCTGCACTGGGCTAATACCAGTCTCCTTTTTCCTTGAATATGAAGAGTTCAGATGCAAAAACTTCTAAATGTCATCTGAAATGTTCTTCTAAAATGGGAATTTTTGGCAAGCTCCTGTGTATATGTTCAGTAAATCCACTTTTATGGCAAAAAAATAGGTTCTTTGCATTGCCTTTAAAGTGAAATAGCTGCGCAAATATATTTGAGGCTGAGAAAAATGCTCTTTTAAGAAGAAAATTTCAGTTAGCATTTAGAGGTTTTTGCATCTGAACTCTTCATATATAACACCTAGATATATAGTACCTGTCTGTCTCTCTGATGGTGTCCATAAATGTCTTTCTGTCAGAAATATAACAACTTTATACTACCCGTTTCTCTCAGGTAGCGTCTTAAAAGCTTTCTGTCAGATATACTGTAGTGTCAAGGTGACTTTTTCTCGAATATACAGTTGAAGACAAAACTAATAGCCCTTCTGTGAAATTTTAATTCTTTTTTAAATGTGTTGAGGGAAGTTTTGTTTTTCAACATTTTTCAACATAATAGTTTAATAACTAATTTCTTTTGTCTTTGCCATAATGACAATACATGATATGTTATATTTATGTTATACTATTATTGCAAGATACTTTTATTCAGTACTTTTAAAGTGCAATTTAAATGCTTAACTAGGTTAATTACGCTAACTAGACACGTTTATTTAATTAGGTAAGTCATTAAGTTGTTTGTAGCCAGTCAAATGGGAATAATACTGACCTTATCCATATTTAATATATTTTAAATAATGATTTTTTTTTATTCCAGTCAAACATATTTAAATAAAACCTTTGTCTGAAGAAAGATTAAATTGGAAATACAATGAAAAATTCCCTTGCTGTTAAACATCAATTAAAAATATATTTGACTTTTTTACTAATAATATTTTTAGTCTTCAGCTGTACAAGTAGATAGACTAGCAATTTTTCTCTCACAGAAATTGTCACAGAAATGCATATGCATCTTTTCTCACTCATATACAGCGAGTACACCCCATTTTAAAAATGTTTTTATCAATTTCTCAGTAAATATAGGTAATACATTTTGATGCATTAAAAAAATAGATTTATTAAATTGATATATTTGCTCAACTACTATTTTAGTCACCGAACATATTTAAAAATAGAAGGGTAGTACATTTATATTTCAATATAATGTAATTCAATTTTCGTTTTAATGTAATTAAAATTTTTTAAATGTAATATTAAATATTTTTAAATGTTTTATTAAATATTTTTCAAAAACTTATGAATTTAGGTGTACTCATTTTGGACCGCTATTGTAAGTTATTTTGTTAGATAAGCTCCAGATTTGGCTACAGTACTGACTAATCCAATGTATATGCACAAATATAATATTGCAAAGCCTACTATAGAAAATATTAATCTAAATGAGAGATTAGTGAGGGGTGTACTTGTATGTTGAGCACTGTATATACATATATAAGACTGTAGTTGAATACCCCAGATGGTCAGTGTTCTATTTTTTTTTTTTTTTTTGCTATATATTTTTCAGATATACAGTAACACCTGTACATGTAATACCATCTCTCTTCCAGATATATTGTCCAGAGATGTCTAACAAATCTACATTATATCTGTCTATCTTTGCCTTAGACGTGTCTCGCTCTCTCCTTATCTCTCTCTTTCTGAAATAGCATTTGTATTAATACTCATTTGTTTTTATAACAGTGTCTGCTCCTCAGATATAGATGTAGATATAATACCCATCTTAGACATAACATCTGTAAGTATTTTAGATGTTTCACACCTCTCTCTCTTTCTCTCTCCCTCAGATATAGTGCCTGTAGGTGTGATAGCAGGCGGATCTGTTGGATCTTCCATTTTGCTTCTGCTTCTCCTCTTTGCTCTGATTTTCTATCTGTATCGACAACGCAAAAGCAGTGAGTACACGGTTTATGTGTGAGTGTATCTGTTTTGTGTTTATTTGTCTGAGATGAATTTGTCCAATGAATCACTGGAAAGTAGATGACAAGAAAATAAATATACATATGCAGTAGGAGGCAATGCGCTGAAAGTCAGTTGTTAAGAAAAAAAAAAAGTCAAAAGAATGTGTGATTGCAGTGTGGTGCCCTCGTGTGGCAAAAAACTGAAAAGAATAAAAGTCTAAATGACTTTCTCATTTCCCTTTATAAGGAAAAATACTAAATGATAATGATGTATATATTTGATAAAAATACGTGAAATTAATTGTTTGGTAACTATATATTAAAATCATTAATGTATGCGTCAGAAAAAAATATTATAGATATGACATACATATATTCTGATATATATTCGGCACGGTGGCTCAGTGGTTATCACTGTCGCTTTACAGCAAGAAAGTCGCTGGTTTGAGTCCTGGCTGAACCAGTTGCCGTTTCTATGTAGAGTTTGTATGTTCTCAGTAAAAAAAGTTCTCAGTATTTACTATAATATTTTTTCTTCTGGAGAAAGTTATTTATTTTATAGTAAATTGTTTTACAGTTTTACATATAATTAACTATTAATTTCTGCATGTAATTATATATTATACATATATAACTTTAAAGTCTATTTTACTAGCCAGATAATAATTAGTTTTATCAATTGGCTATATTAACTCATTATTATATTATTCTGTAAATATTGTTGATTGCATTTCTTCAAAAACAAAATTAAGAAAATGAGAATTAATCAAAATAAGAAAAAAAAATTTAATGTGATTGTAAATACTGTGTAAAATATAATGTATATTGCATATACTGTGAAAGCTTTAGACCTTTTACTTGGAATCCAAAATGACTAATTGTGCTTTGCGTGTATGCGCAAGTAGAATGCTAAGAACTTTCGGTCGGCAGCTAATGTGTATAAACAGTCACATTTTGGACACCTTTAAAACGATATTTTAAATCTATTTTATCTGATTTTGTCATCTTTGAATACTGTTGTCGATCAGCACCACCTCCTGGACTGATCGTTTTAAAAAATGCAATCTAATGGAGGGAAAACAACTGCTGTGAGGCATTTTCCCCTCGTTGTTAGACGGCACCTTCTGCTGTTTAAATGAAGCCTCGGCATCGCTAAAGTCACCTGTACTGTCTGTCCCCTGACACACTGATTTAATAACTGTGACAAAGTGAAAAAGTGATATTTTGAAATGACAGAAAAACACAAACTGTGGTAAATACAACACACTAAATGAAACATAAACGGCTCGCGATTAGAATCAACATGCAATCAGCCAACAGAGTATCAGTCACTCATTTTTGTAAATTGCAAGACTTACATACCTGTTAAGTTTCATGCCAGTAATCTGGTTTGCTCTATGATGCTGTGAAGTATTGCGTGTGTGCGTGTGTGCATGTGCGCATTTATTGAAGAGCCACTGAGCTAACAGCTGACTGGCCGGGGAGACACACACAAACACACACACACACACACAAACACATACACACACTGTATTTCTGACGGCAGGTACATGAACTAGTAGAACGTTTTTTTTTCTCGCGCGTGAACCACATCTGACAGATTATAACGGCTTTAACACACTTTTCAAAGTTGTGTGTCACAAAAACACTCCATAATCCACTTTAAACGCTATTGAAACCCATTTTCAGATCGCAAATTACCAGTTGTAAACAATGTAAAGGGAAGTTCTAAACATTCTACTGGAAGACGCTGGTCGCTGATCTATAACAGCAAGCATATTATTTAAATTCAAATATATTTGTATTTTTAGATTTAGAAGAAATGTCATCAGTAGTTTTCAGAACATAACAAAAAGACATTTTACTCAAACACATCAGTGTAAATTGTAAATCTAGAGATACTAAATTTTCAGGTTGTCTCATTTTTTCCATAGCTGTATATACATATTGTTATTTTTATAAATATATATTAAAAACATCCAGAAACATATTAATATTAGGCCATTTTCAACAGCATTTGTCAGATGAACCATTTCATGCTAAATGAATCAATAAAACATATTAAACATCATTAGATTTCTCATTAAATTTGGACATCAACCAACATAAAGTACAAAAATATCTGTTTTAATGATAAATGTGATATTGATTTATGCCTTAATTTCGAATAACTGCCTCATAACACAAATCTCAGCCTGAGGCACCAATAAAAATACTGCAGTCACAATCCAGCTTTCTGACCAGTGTCTATTACTGTGATTTAATGGTAGTATTAAATCATATCTCCAATCAAACTTGATGTGGTCTCTTGTGTTTGCAGGTCGTCGTGGAGTGACACTCAAGCCAGACATTAAGGTGGAAACGGTGAACAAGGAGACCAATCTGGAGGAGGAGGCCGCCAGCGCTTCAACAGCCACGCGAATGGTAAAGGCTATGTATTCTGTGAGTATCTATATTAGAAAATAGGCTGTCAGGCTGTCAACTTTAACTCCTTCTAAATTAAATATATTTACAGGGTGATTCACATTTGAGTGTGTTTCACTTAAAAAGTTTGGCTAATTCAGAGAAAGCTGTATATATGCCAGTGATATATTTGGACCTGTCAGCAATAAAATAAAAGTGTGCACATAGTTTCATGTAATTTTGAATATAGTAATATTATAACATACTCTGCTGGTTAGCATTGTCTATAGTGCATTAATCTAAAATTCAGCCTCACTAAAAAATAATCATTATGTTTCAGTAACTTTTAAAATAAATATCTTACACATTTATTTAATTAGAAAGTGCTTAAATATTGTGAAAGTATATGTATTTTAAAATACCAGTTTTGTATTTAAATATGTTAAAAATGTACATTATTTCTGTGAAAACAATGCTACATTTCTTGCACAAATTCTCCAGAAAAAATCTCATATTTGTTTTGAAATTATGCTAAGATGTTGATTTAATTCAGAAGATAAAATAATTTTTCTAACTAATAATTATCATCATTGTTGAAAATAATGTTGCTTAATATATTTTATTGAAAACAGTGACTACAGAAGTTTATTGACAAATATTTGAAAGTTCAAAAGTACAATATTAATTTGTAATTGAAATAAATATGTGGTATGACTTTTGGTAAAGAAAAATCTTACTGGCTCTAAACATTTGAACAATTGTATAACAGTTTATAAAATATATTGCAGATATTCTTATTATACATCTTCATGCAACATGTTTGCTATCAGACTGGAAGAAAATGCTTCTGTTTGCTGGAAGCTTTTAGTGTTTATTTAAAAACATTTAACATTTTCTTGTCCTGCGTCGGCCAAAATGAATCTGGCTTGCCAATAGTTGAATTTGCAGTCTGAAATGATTGAAATGCGTGTAAAAGTACTTTATTTAGGAGGTGCTATAAGAAATCCCAATAGAACAATGACAGCCGCTTTTATAGGTTTATAAAGTGTCAGGTTTACAGAGCAATTTCTGCTGTTTATTCACAACTGTAAATGATTTAAAGGGACAGTTCACCTAGTGACAGTTTCACCAATTCTGTCATCATTTACTCGCTGTCAGAAGTTTATTTCTTCAGCTGAACATGTATTTTGAAGAATGTTTTTAAAAAACAGTTTGATGCTAAACATTGACCTCCTTAGCATTGCCGAACCATATTGTGGAAGCTAACCATCCACTGTTTGGTTGCCAGCATTCTTCAAAATACCTACTTGAGCAAATAAGTATATCAGGTCACAAAATACAATGTTTACCCTAGTACTTATATGAGTGCAAAATTACGCGCCATTACAGGGATGCTGACAGAAACATGAATACAGCATTGTGAGAAAGTTGCCTGTTTACATTTTGCATTCAATTATTTTTATATTGGACCTGTAATTAGTTTTTACAAAGTGTTTTTATTTTATTAATATTTATTTTTACCCCATTTCTTTATCAAACATTCATGTTCATAAATAAACAGTCATTAATATACAGTTGAAGTCAGAATTATTAACCCCGTTTTATTTTTTTCCCCAATTTCTGTTTATCGGAGAGATTTTTTCTGCACATTTCTAAACATAATCGTTTTAATAACTCATTTCTAATAACTGATTTTTTTTTATCTTTGTCATGATGGCAGTAAATAATATTTGACTAGATATTTTTCGAAACACTTCTATACAGCTTAAAGTGACATTTGAAGGCTTAAATAGGTAAATTAGGTTAACTAGGCAGGTTAGGGTAGTTATGCAAGTTATTGTATATCGATGGTTTGTTCTGTAGACTATCGAAAACAAATATAGCTTAAAGGGGCTAATAATTCTGACCCTAAATCGGTTAATAAAAAATTAAGAACTGCTTTTATTCTAGCCAAAATTAAACAAATAAGACTTTCTCCAGATGAAAATATATTATCAGACATACTGTGAAAATGTCCTTGCTCTGGTAAACATCATTTGGGAAATATTTGAAAAAAAAAATAAATAAATTCAAAGGGGGGGCTAATAATTCTGACTTCAACTGTATATATATTCTCATAGCCCTTTTGTAAGAAGAACTACTTTCTTCTGCCATTCATTCACATCTGCAGCTGACGTCAGAACAGCAGAAGCCATTACATTTTAGAGCTAGTATTGCAATGATTCTCTAGCGTGATGACAACATAGAAGATTTTGCTAACATTTTACGATTATAAAACTGAACGGCATGAAATCAGTCCACAGAGATATCTCCCAGTATTTCTACGTTGCAATCGGGAGATCACAATATTACTATGGTAGAAATACAGCACTACAACATACAAAAGAGAGAGAGATCAACTTAGAAAGTCATTTGCCTGTTTAATAATGATTTGATCAGCTGTAGTTTGAAATCACGCTGTTTCCTCCTAGAGCTTATTATGCGGTGTCTGTCGCCATCTTGTGGATGAACATCGGCAACCGTCTTTGCTTAAAGAAAGGCTAATGGCTGCGGATGTGCTGTCTCTCAGAAATGCAAAAAATGTGAAAATAGGTACTATCCTTATATATAAACTTGCAATATAACCAACTACATCCTTGACTAAAACAGCCTCAAAAGTACATTATGTTGTCCAACAGCAGCAATATTTGTCAAACTGTAGAGCATCCTCTGCTTGTCGCTGTATGTGGGTGGAGTAATACACAAGGGTGAAGAGGTGGTATGAGTGCTGTTACTGGCAGAATATTGCATGGCTATAGACCAATCAGATTCAAGAACCAGACAGAACTGTTGTATAAATATATATAAACTATTCATTGATCGAATGTGAAGAAATTGTACTTTTATCGCGATATAGATCATTATCAGGATATAAGATGACTTGCATCATGATATGAAATTTTTAAGACATCACCCAGCCCCTACTCTAAATGATGACAGAATTATCCTTGAGTGAACTGTCCCTTAAAAGAAGGATCTTTTTACAGACAGCATATAATTAGCAAGAGTGCGTGATGGTGAAAGAGTTTCTTGCCAGCACAAACATCTGTTCTTCACGGATTCTGATAAAGCTTTTCCTCCCTCTCTCTCTCTCCTTCTCTTCCTCCCTCTCTCCGTGTGTGTGTTTTGTCGTTTGATGGTTTAGTTTCTTCCCTCTGTCTCCCTCTCTCCCTCCACCCAGCCCTTCAAAGACGACATGGACCTGAAGCAAGACCTCCAGACCGAAACGCTGGAGCCCAAGGTGGAGGAGTATGAGGCCAAGGTAAGCCAGAGCAGAACTACTGTAAATACAGTAAACACATCAGTATGCTACACCCAAGGTTCATACATTCCTGGAAAACTCATGGAATTTTGGCAACTCATTTTCCAGGTTTGGAAAAGTTCTTAAAAAACAAATATACCCTAATAGGTATAGGTAACAGGACAAGTCATGAAACTTTAAGTCTTATGAAAACACAAGCCAACATTTTGAAAATATTTTCAACAAGACAGACAGCAAGATATTCCCTGAAAACTATTTTACTGATATAAAAATAAACAAACTACAGTTGAAGTCAGAATTATTAACCCCCTTTGAATTTTTTTCTTTTTTAAATATTTCCTGAATTATGTTTAACAGAGCAAGGAAATTTTCACAGTATGTCTGATAATATTCTTTCCTCTGCAGAAAGTCTTATTTGTTTTATTTCGGCTAGAATTAAAGAAGATAAATATTTTTTAATCACCATTTTTAAGGACAAAATTATTAGCCCCTTTAAGATATTTTTTTGGATAGTCTACAGAACCATCGCTATACAATGACTTGCCTAATTACCCTAACCTGCCTAGTTAACCTAATTAACCTAGTTAAGCCTTTAAATGTCACTTTAAGCTGTATATGAGTGTCTTAAATAATAACTAGTAAAATATTATTTACTGTCATCATGACAAAGATAAAATAAATCAGTTGTTAGAAATGAGTTATTAAAACTGTTATGCTTAGAAATGTATTAAAAAAACTCTCCTTTAAACAGAAATTGGGGAAAAAATAAACAGGGGGGTCTAGTAATTCATGGGGGGCTAAAAATTCTGACTTCAACTGTACATAGATTATGACATATGTTTGATATGCTTTAATAAATTTAAACTGGCATTTTTTTTCTCATTTACCATGTGTACGTAGGCATTACATGAAACATCAGGTGTCGTTTTCTTAGATTTCAGTGCTCTAATTACTGAGTCAGTTCAATACAAGGTGGGCCATTTATATGGATGCACCTTAATAAACTTATTGGGAATTTCACATGAAAAACAACGGTGTGCTTGGTTTAAACGTACCTTTATACTTTCATGTGTTATTTTCAAGCCCCATCACATATATGTGCCACAAACAGGACGTTAATATCACCAACCATTCCCATTTTATTAAGGTGTATCCATATAAATGGCCCACCATATATACAGAGGTCGGTGCAATATTTGTTGTCCATGAGAACTTCATTTATCATTTAGCACTTTTATGCTGACATTGACTGCAAAAAACAGAAACATCTTTACTTGAAACCAATTAAAAACTTTCAGTGTTTAATAAAAAAGTACAGTTACTGTATACCCCACCGTATTTAAAGTTATGAATGATAAAACATATTTATTTTTCTTTCTTAAAAGATGCAGCATAGTTAAATCAAATAATCAAAAGTGCTGGTTTTTTTCAGTGTGTGAGCATGATAGCAAATAGTTTTATGTAACAGTTCAACAAACAAGTCAATATATGAGTTACATTTGTTTCTACCAATAGCCTAGTGGTCAGTCTGCTTACATATAGAACAAATGCGCTTCAGGCATCCCAAATTAGTGTCCTGATTTCCAGATCTTTTTCTCTCTAGCTTTGCTTGCTGTCAATATCTGCTGTCAATTGGGAAAAAAAGCTTTCTTTTAAAAAAAAGAAAGAAAATACTTCCAAACAAAGGCAGAGCAGAAGAGCATCTCGGAGCATCTCAGAGCAACACCTACTTGTTGCAAGCGAGCTGTACCAATAATAAAAATGAATCCCGACTATCACCATTATAGAATTTGTGATACGAAACACCAGACCTTCTGGATTTTATTAAATAGTGAGCAAAGCAACTGCAAGATCATTTTGAAAGGATTGTCACAAGTTAAAATCTGCATATGATTAGTAGATGAGGTGAACTGAAATGCAAACAACTGCAGCTTAACTTAGTAAAAGTTATAAATTATTAATAATTTATAAAAGTTTCTTCCTATTAAAAATCATGTATGTAGTTAAACATGCCTGGTTAGCATGATGGCAGATAGATTTTGCTTTAATAAACAATTATTTTTGTTAATTATTATAGTTTTCTGTGACTGTTGTTATTTACATTTAGTTTAAGCTTTTAATTTATTGTGCATTTTCTATTTTATTTGAGTTAACAGAAATGTTTTTGACCAGCACTTTTAGTCTTAGTGTTTGTTTTCTAAAATTAAGGTTAGGTATGGGTGTGAAACCTTAGGTATTAAGGGTGTGTATGAATCCACCTTTGCTATTTTAATGATGGAAAAATATGCTTTGCGCCGTGGCGCAAGGTCTAACAGGGTTGTGGTTGTTCTCTTAATGAGTTATGGGTGTGTTTTGAGCATAACAACCAATCAGAGTCTCATCTCATATTCCTTTTAAGAGTCAGTTGCGTCACACCATGGCGCATTTTCTATTTACATGGTGGACTTTGTAAGTGGAAAAACTGAATGAATCACTAGTGAGAAAACAGTTAAACAGACCATCTGCAGCACGAGGATAAAGAATGAGCCTCCTCCATTCGGCTTCTTTACTTTCTCTTTCTCTTTACTTTAACTCTTTACTCCTTTACTTTCTTGGATAAGGACGTAGGTTACACTCTCACTCCACTGAAGACATCCATTAGCCCACATATTTAATTGTGTTTGTTAAGCACAAATATTTGTTTCAAAACTTTTTCTTAATTCAGTTCTAATATTCAGTAAACAAATAAATGAACAATAATAACGAAGTGTGATTCTTATGCCCAATATGGTGATGCATACTCCAAAACCCGACAGGTGGTATAAATAGTTCTGCTAATAATAAAAAATATTATACAAATGCAAATTGTCATGAATTAACTGAAAAAAGGCATGAAGGCAGTGGTTTTTATATTTATGTAGAAAATAATAATTTTTGCAACATTTTAATACTTAAATTTTTTCATATGTAAAGATATTTGTGTATTTTTGTACATCCTGTGTGTATTTAGCAATGTGTAAACCTTTGAACCCACACAGGCGCATAACTAACATGCTCTGCACTGGACTTAAGACCAGCTTTTAGATGGTCAATGGTGCTGTCTTTTTCAGCTCCTCAAAAAATCAACACGCCAACGATGCGCCTTAACACACCTCTATTTTAGACCAGCACGGCCATGAGTTCAAAGTGGCGCAAATGGATTTGCTATTTAAACAACGTTCCGCCAAATGTGAAAATTAGGGTTGCGCTGGTCTGAAAATAGCAACAAATTGCGCCAAACACATCTTGTGCCTTATTTCACCGGGTGTATGATAGGGCCCTAAAACTTACAGGTGGCCAGTTGGCATCGTAATTGTTTAATCTAGCCCAAATATCTGAAAACTGTTTAATCAAGAAGAATTTTCTGGACAAGCAAAAAATATTGTCCTGTTATTGGAAATAATATGCCACATTTAAGAAAGTTTTTCCTTCAAACAAGCAAAATAATCTGCCAATGGTGTAAGCAAAATAATATTTTGTCAAAACGAAAAACAAGATTATTTTGCTCACCCAACTGGCAGATTATTTTGCTTGTTTGAAGGAAAAACTCTCTAATTAATTTTGGCATATGAAGACAAGACAATTTTTTGTTGTCTAGAAAATGCTTTTTGATTTAAGAATTTTTAGATATTTGTACTAGAAATGAGACAAAAAAATCTAATAAAGGCAGTTTTTGCAGTGTAAATTTTGCTGGCTCAACGCAATGAATCAAACAGTGTGTGATTGACCAGTGTATCACAGTTAAAAAAAAAAACTATCTTTTTCATTTCAGGACCCCACGAATGGCTACTACAATGTCCGAGCCACGACTCATGATGAGGTGCGCTCTTCCACCCGCTCACTGCTCTACCAGGAATTCCGGGCACCTAATCCTGCATCAGTTTCAGCATCGACCGGCGGCCCTGCCAACATTCATCCCGCTCCTACAGGACGTTATGAGGCCCGTCCCACTTCCCGAATGGCTCACAACACCTATGCTCATTTCAACACAATCGCAAGGGCATCACAAATCCAGCCTCCAGCCAACCCCGTCTCCAAAACCACAGACTATCCTGCAGAGCGTGGCCTGCTGGAGTCCACCAATCCACTAGCTTTTGACAGCTACGCCTACTCAACCACACCTCAATACCGGTTAGGCTTTGCTCCGCCTTTGGAGGCGGGACCAGCCTATGAAATGTATCCAACGGGACAAGGGGTGGGGACGAGTCAAGATGCTAATGTAGGCAAATACCCAAGCTCCGCCCAGTTTCCATATTCAACCCCGCCCACGGAATACTCTCAAAGACACACGCAACGAATGCAGACTCATGTGTGAGGCTAAAAGAAAGCACTTCCTTGAACGCAAATATATGGTACACACTGATTTTTTTACACTATATGCAACACACACACATACACAAGTTTTCTACCTTTACAAAAACACGATTGAGAGAAAATTAAAGTGCCAAATTACTAACGAACCACAGCGGAAGAGGAAACCATAAACGATCACAGTGTTGAATGGAGGAACACATGTCAACCTGAAAAAAGTTCTGCCGTGGCAAATCCAGTCCTCCAAATCAGTGTTTCCCAACCCTGTTCCTGAAGGCACAACAACAGCACACATTTTCAACCTCGTCCTATTAAAACACACCTGATCCAACTCATCCAAACATTAGAAGAGACTCCAAAAGCTGAAATGAATGGGTCAGATAAGGGAGACATCCAAAATATGTACTGTTGGTGTGCCTTTAGGAACAGAGTTGAGAAACACTGCTCTAAATATCTATTGATGTCTGTGCCAAAATGAGACACTGCAAAAGAGCCATTAACCGGTTTTCTCCATGCAAGTAAATAATATTGGCTGCTTCCTTTGAAAGAAAGGCCAGTTAAAGGCTGGAGGGCAGCAGATATGGCTGTGAAAGCCCAGTGAAAGCCTGATTGCCGTGCGCTCTGGAGTTTACGCCGGATCTACCCATCGCTGAACTCAATAAAACAAAAGTGTGGGAGTTGTAAGTGAACTCACACTGATCTACAATGTGACGTCGCAGATTACGTGAGTTGAAGAAACTACAGGTATTGACAATCGCTGAGTGACTGAACGGCGCGCTCACACTGCCGAGCTCCTCGCTGCCAGATTCAACTCTTCTGATGGGACGGAGACGCGAGTATCTGGGTAAACGCCACCAGTGCTTTTAACTCGCCAGTTTCTGTAACATTGTAGATTTTTTTTCGATTTAAAAAACAAAGGAAACAAACGGATGCTACTCTGAGAGTGTCAAAGTGAGCTTACAGACTCTTCTCTGAACACACGCTCTGCCTCCTCCAAGAAAACCTCACGAGTATTTGACGCTTCGTGTTTCTGTGTGTGTGTGTCTGAGAGAGAAAGAGTGTGTGTGCGCTCATGTGACGTGGAGGAAATGTTGAATGTGAGAATCTCTTTCTCCGAAGTGTCCATGTATTTGTCCTTCACACTTTCCAAGTAGAGTTAGAGTGCTTTTCCATATTTGTATCGGAACTAAATTGCATTTGAAAGCGCTTTTATAATATTTTTCTAAGACGGCGGTGAGGGGATTGAGATCGAGTGGTTTTTGGTACAAGCAATGTAAAGGAGAAAATAAAATGTTTCTTTTTGATTTGTCAACATTAAGAAACGGAGTCAATCAGATCATTTAAAAAAGGGAAAAAACAATATTAAAGTTGAAGCAATTACGTTACGAGTCCGGTGTTCAGTGCGTTTCTTATGGAAATATAGAAGGGCTTTTAATGTCTGAGCTCAATTTGTTTTTGTTTTTGTAAATTTTTCTTAATTTAGATTTAATCTCTTGAAATTTTACGGACTTCAATTTTGAGAATATTAAAGATATGCAATGATCAGTATATACTGCTTAAAATTAATACAGGGAGCACTTAACCCTTGTGTACTATTAGAGATGTTTTCATCATGATTTTGTGTCCTAATTTGCCCGTAACTTTTCCTGTTTCAGCTAGCAAAAATAATTTTGGTGCCAATTTGGGTTTTGACATGTGAAGTTTATTTATAAACAAATGTCAAGAGGATCACGTGCTTATGATTTATCACGGCTGATCTCGCATTTACTAATCACAATCTCCCAATCATATGATTCCCCTTTGACCATAAATAACCAGTTTCAGTCCATAGTTATCTTCCTATAGAACCCCCCCCTCCCCTTCTCCTCTTTTCCTTAGATCGGCCGGCAGAGTGGCCCAGTGATTAGCACTGTTACCCCACAGCTAGAACACTGCCAGCTCTGGGGCCTCATGTACAAAGACTTGCGTGGAAATCCTACTAAAACATTGCGTACGCACAAAGCTGTAAATGTGCGTACTCAAAAAAAAATTCAGATGTATGAACACTGCGCACACCGAATCCCATGCATATTCTATGTACATCCGAATGAACGTGAAACTGAGCACAACATGCATGAGCGCAAAACCCCTCCCTGCCTCCTCCCCCGTATGAATATGCTAATGACTCTACTTTGGCAAAACCCAATGAAAAAGCAATGGCAAAAGCAAGCAAGAAGAGAAACTTTGAACAGAATGTGAATTGGAGGTGCTGCTTTCAGAGGTAGATCAGAGAAAAACAGTGTTATTTGCAAGTTTGTACTCCGGATTCAAAAAAAAAGAAAAAAAATAGAGTGGGAGAGTTTAGCTGATGCGGTTAACACAGTTAAATCTGAACATCGCACTGAGTGGATTAAAAAAGAAATGGTGCGATGTAAAGGTATAAAATGTTGCAGATTCTGTAACAGTGTGAGTGGTGCAGCTCGTAAAACGCATGGTAACATGTTTTGACACGTTCGAGCATGAACTCGCTGGTTCGAATCCAGCGTCTGATGAAGTCATTCTCCCCCGGGTCCTCCGGTTTCCTCCCACCATCCAAAGATATACATAATTAAGCAATCCAGGCACTATTTTACTCCCTTCCTCCTCGGAGGAAGGGAGCCGGGGAGTTTGAGATCTACCAAAGCTCAAGCTCCCCTCTCGCTCTACGATCGGGAGGGAGCCCTGGACTCGATGATCCCTTAAGCTCAGGCCTCTCTCCCAGGGCATCATGCCAAACAAGCTTATATTAAATCATCAGCTAAGTGAACTCTTGAAATATTTTGGGAAAATGCTTTGAACATTTAAAATAAACTCTGAACAAATTGACTACCTTAATTAAACTGCTGTAAAAGGGCATCAGATAAATATGTTTTTCAAATTGTTTTGCATGAATCTGTTATTCAACCTTGGGGTCCTGGGGTTCGTACCTCGCTTAAATGATCTAAGATGATTTGGCAGATCCTGGATCTGTTAATCTTGATAACTGGTCTCTGGCTAATTTGGTTCTTCAAACAAGTTTGCGAATCAGATTAGAACGTCTGAATGAATTGATCTGAGATTGCTGTGTGTGTTGTGAAGGACAAATCTATCGATCCTTGAAATCATGATCAGCAATGCAACGATTGGCTGACGGAACAGCCGCGTAATGACATCATCTGATTAATATTCAATTTTTCGCATGAGCAAAATTACATCAAATTCGTTGTAAATGATTTTTTAAATATGATACACAATAACTTGTGGGCTGCAGGCTTTTCATGTGCCAAGACTCAAAAGTATTTAGCACTTTATTTAGTGTTACATTTAGAGCAGATTTGCTTTATTATAGTAGCCTAGGTCTATTCAAGTTTCTTAATCGGCGTAAGGAAAACTGGGTGTGTTTAAATAAATTTTGCATCAAAAAAGCATTTCGATATCTGTAAAAGTGTCAAATCACCAGCATATTAGCTGTCAATACATATGCATGACTGCATAAATGATTATTCCTTCAAAAAAAAAAACAGTCAAATATTGTGCATGTCTATTATTAAACACAAATTGTACTAAAGCTGGTACCTTAAAATAACGTTTGTGTCTAGATCTTTTTGAAACACTTTTGTTTTTGAAACAGTCTTTTGTACCTTTAATTTTGGAGTGCAGATTGCATACTACTACTACAGTAAGAAATGGTAAGAATAGGGAACATACTTTCAGTATTACCTTTGCTTGAACTGACCCGATCTAATCCTGTTTATATGAAAAAATCCAAATCCAGCTAACTGAGTAATCCACGTACGAAGAACTGACCGATAATCTAAACTACATAATTGTTTAAAAACGTACAGGATGTTGACTTTATTTGCCAAACTCATAAATGATGTCACTGATTGGGTTAAAAAAAAGAGGGAAAAAATCAAGTCCACAATTACTTTTCATATTGAAAATACTTCATTTTGTGTGGGTTTTTCACCAAATCAGTGAAATCATTTGTGAATTTGGCATTTAAAGAGTTAAAATCCTGTAAATTTTCTAAACAATTTAGTAGTTTTGATCAGGACTGAGATTGGTTAACAGATTTATGCAACAAAAAATAAGTAAATAATTAATTAAATTACCCTAACCTAACTAACCTAGTTAAGCTTTTAAATGTCACTTTAATCTGTATAGAAGTGTCTTGAAAAATATCTAGTCAAATATTATTTACTGTCATCATAGCAAAGATAAAATAAATCAGTTATTAGAGATGAGTTATTGAAACTATTATGTTTAGAAATCTTCTCTCCATTAAAAAAAAAAAATGGGGGAAAAAAAACAACAACAGGGCAAATAATTCTGACTTTAACTGTAAACATTTATCTGATGCATTTTTACAGCAGATTAACTCAGTGGAGGATTTTATCCCGAACATAGGGGTAGTACATTTGCAAAAAGGTTAAACAACATAATGTTACTCCAAGTGTTCCCTTTATTAATTGAGCAGTAAATTTGCATTTTACAGTGAAACAGCTGCTCTGCAGTTTAAATGAGTGCAGTTATGAAATAGGTTTTTAATCAACGTTCTTTAATTTCAAGACTTATTCGGCACCTTTACAGAGAGGACAATGAACTCGCTGATGATCAAATTCACATATCAGAGGCAGAAAGACAAGCGAATGAATGTGCAGTACTGTGTTTCTAGTGTGTGAATGTGAGCATGTTTCAGTGTGACTCCTGAAATCCACAACACAACTGTGCTTCATTTTGCATTCATGATGAACTTTCATTTGTTTTAGTCATCTGATGAAACTGTAAAAAGCAAGAATAATACCTACATGATGTGTTTTTTCCCTCAGAGCAACTTTTACATTCTTTTTTTTTATTTGTATGTGGTTATTTTTCCACAGTATTATCAAATAAAAACATCTTTTATATTAGCTCTTGTTGTCATATACGACACTAACAGCTTTGGACTGTTTAGTGTTTGATTCTGATTAGTTTGTGGAGATCTAAGGCGTGTCATTATTTTTTTAAAGGGACCCCACAGCTACAGCAGTTCCAAACAGGCTCCAAGCAACTATACACAGAATTATTCGGTTATTTCAAAGCCTATGACTCTCAAAAAAATTAACCAACAAGATTTTTAAATGACATTTGTAAGTACAGGAGCTGCTTAAGGACAAGACAAATCCCCCTGTAGGCCAAGACCAGTTACTCACTGAAGCTAAGAAGGGTTGAGCCTGGTCAGTATCTGGATGGGAAAACTAGGTTGCTGTTGTAAGTGGTGCTAGTGAGGCCAGCAGGGGGCACACAACTTGTGATCTGTGTGAGTACAAATGGCCCAATATAATGAAGGGGAAATCTTTAGGATAAGATGTTAAACCAAGGTCCTGACTCTCTGTGGTCTTTAAAAATCCCATGGCACTTCTTGTAAAGAGTAGGAGCATGACATTCCGGTGTCCTGGCCAAATTCCCTCCATTGACCCTTACCCAATATGGCCTCTCAATCATCCCCATCCACTGAATTGGCTCTATCAGTCTCTCCGCTCCACCAATAGCTGGTGTGTGGTGAACGCACTGGCACCGTTGTCCTGTGGCTGCCGTCGCATCATGCTGGATGCTGCAACACTGTTGGTGGTGTGGAGAGACCCCCCTAATGATTGTGAGGCGCTTTGGGTGTATATACATACACAATAAATGCGCTATATAAAAAAATACACATACAAAAACCTGGCAAATGTCTTGAAATAACAATTGAATTGGGTCTCAACTTTAAGGTTTTTAAAGGGATAGTTCACGCAAAAATGAAAATTCTCACCTTTTTCACACCCTTCATTTTTCAAATGCACACAAATAAAAACATTTAGAAAAATGTTGGAAACCTGTAACCATTAGCCCCTTTCACACAGTGATACCAGTAAATATCTGGAAAATTACTGGAACAACTTTACCGGTAAATTTAAAAAAAGCATTACAGACATTACGGATTTTTTCCGGATAAGAGCATTCACACAATTATTCCAAAATACCGGTAAATTCTGACATCTTCAACCAGAAACAAGCTCTAAACAGCCGCACTTTCATTTGTAAACATTTGACTACATTACCAAACTGTGGATGGAGAAGTAGCCTATTGTAACAACGGATGTAAACATATGGAAGGACACTTTTGCATGTCGAGATGTACATAATATGTGTGTGCTGGCGCTCACCGGCTGCTTTATGTGCACACGCGTTGAGCAACTGAAGGAAGCAGAGCTTAAAGGTAAACAAACAACAGCTTATCATAACCATTTTATCAAAAAAAAATGTTACACAGTTGGCATTAATAATGAACAAAAACGTTATCTAACTAATATCTAGCAGCTAAATATGTCTGGAAAAGTATTCAAAGGCGAACAGCGCAGATGTG